ACCCCTCCAGCCTCCTTTCCCTGAGGCTCAGAAAGGACAGGCGTGACACCCAAGGCCACCAGTGGGTCCAGCACACATGGCTGGCCCCTCTCCGCTGGTGGGTATGGGGCAGAGTGGGCTGCCACTGAGAACATAGCGTGCCCTCTTGGAGTGAGCCCTGTTGATTGCAGCTCCCCATCCCACCTTGGGGTACTTGGTAATTCTTCCTTGGTGGGCAGCTAGCAATGCCCTGCCCTCTTTGGGTGTGTCCCAAAGAGACAAAGGGTCTGCTGCAGGCTCAGCTTGACTCAGAGGACTCTGCCCAAGATGAGCACATGCAGCTCTCAGCCTGGAGGAGGGAGGGGAGTGGTCACCCTTGGCATTGAAGAGGGGTCTTGGCACCCCCCCAACACAGGGGCAAGGGGTCCTGGTACCTGGTGCTCTTTGGAGGCCTGAGGGTCCCTCTTCTGTGACTCTGCAAAAGGGGGCACTCTGTGTGTGTGTGTGTGTGTGTGTGTGTGTGTGTGTGTGTGTGTGTGTGTATAAGAGAGAGCAGGCTTTACAAGGATAGAGACACACAGACAGAAGGAAAACCAGTGAGCTAAGGGCCTGGAACCCTGGCAGATGGAGGTGCCCTGGCTGGTGATGGCTCTGGGGACTGGGACAGGGATGGGTGGTTGGATGGGCTCTGAAAGGCTGGAGCCAGAGGCCCTGCCATGCCCTCTGGTGCTGCACTGGGTGGGTAGGGGCAGATGAGAGCTTTCCCTTGGGACCTAGGGCAGAGCAGGGAGGCCCTGGTCCTTTGGGGGCTCTGTGTGTTTTCCTGTGGCAGAACTGCTGGCTTGCACAGCATCCTTATAATTGGACTCCCCCAAATTCCATGTTAGCGGCTACTGATACTTATCTGGGGCATGCCTGATATGATTAGATTGGTGACTCCCTCCCCACTTGCGTGGGAACCTTGTGCAGTGGCTCTGAGTTGCAGTGTCTGCTCACTGGCGAATACCAAACTGGCTGTGAAATTGAGAGGAGCAGCCACAAAGCCCCATACTGAAAGGGGGCTGGTGTGAGCAGAACTGGCCTCTTGCCGCTGAATCAGAAATCAGCCCAGGATGATTTTGGAGCACATAGGTGCCCACTTGCACCTCCCTTCACCCTCCTGGCTTATGGACCCCATCTCCCTGTGGACGCGAGACCTGCACTGGGCGGGGGTTCCATATGCCCATCTCTTCCCTCCTCTCGCTTGGCTCAATCCCACTCCAGTCTGTGTCTTGGCCTAGACGGCGAGGCCGGCATTCTGGAGCACACAGGGAGTAGTAGCTGCCTCTGGAGCACTTTTGGGTGGGGTGGGGTGTCCCTTCTACTGGAGATCCTGGGAGGCTGGGAGCAGCCCCTCTCTCCTACACAAACAAATCTTGGTGTTCTGGTCAGTCTCCATTATAGACGGGGCCCTGCCTTGGTGGCTGTACCCTGGTCACTGAGAGTTAAGGGTCCTGCTCAGACTCAAATCTGCAGCACTCTGGAGTGGGTGGGCAGCCATCCTGTGGCCAACATTTGGGCAGAGGGACAGGGGCACATAGAGAGGGGGAGGCTGCAGGCTGGAAATAGGACCTTTTCTGGCTAGGCCTCTGTGTCCTCGTGGGTACCTGCAGAGACACCTGTGGCCGGCCCCTGCTCCAACCTCAACTGCCCACCTGCGCCCAGCTCCTGAGCTATGCAGGCAGCTTGCTCAGAAGCGTCCAGCCTCCCCTGTGCAGCCAGAAGCCCCACCACCATGCAGTCCCAGGGCAGCTGGTGCCACATCCTCAAAAGTCACTTTGCTTGCTCACCTGGTGCAGGGGGTCCTGAGCTTGTCAAGCAGAAAGACAAAGAATTGGGGGGAGCTCCCCTCTAAAGCAATTGTCCCACAGAACTTGGGCATTTATCAGAAAGGCAGGAGGGTGCAGGCTCTGGGGAAAGGACAGCGTGTGTCTCTGGGCACCTATTTCCAGTTTGTAATATGGGGAGGAGGTGGGCACAAGAGCAAGAAGAGGCTGGATTCCTGATACTGCCTGGGAGTTGTCACTGCAGGTGACCCATCTGCTACCCACCCACCCTGAGACTCCAGTTCCTGGTGGATTTTTTTTCTCAGCCTGTTGATTTTTTTGTAGACTAAGATCTCCTTTCACAGGGAGACCAAGGGGGTGGGGGAGGCTTCCCATTAGAAGCCAGAATGCCCCCTGCAGTGTCCCCTGCACTTGTGTGGCCCTTGGGGCCAGAGACCCTGTTAGCAGTAGCTGCTCCCCACTCAGGGTGAGGCCCGCACCCAAAACCTGCCCTCCAAGCCCCAGTTCTAGAAAGGAGTGGAGTGGCATCTCCCTACGACAGCTCCCCGCAGAGCCTTCCACAGCCAGTAGCACCTCTGCCCAGGTCTCCTACCCCCAGAGAAGCAGCAAACAGCTAGTTGGCACCCTCTCCATAGTTTACAAATGTTCAACGTTTATTATCCAGCAGCTTTACTGTGAGGCCCCATCCCTTATCCTTTTGAAGGCTTTTCAGTCTCTTTGGTGTCACTCTCAGAATTCTCCGCCTGTCCCCAGCGCTGGCCACGGTGCTCAAGAGAGCCCCAGAAGAGCTGTTATTGCCTTTCCTGACAGGACTGGCCCCTATCTGTTGCCATACTCTACTGTTCGGATTAAAAACTGCTAGACCACATGCTCACTTACTGCGGACTTGTAGCCATCAGGACACTGTGTCATTTTCCAACACTTTTATTCATGGCCAGGAAGGAATAAACTTTATCAGACAATTTGTGTCTGGGCCTTGGTGGATACTGCAGGTGCCTCTTGTTGCTGGGGGGACTTTGCTTCCTGTGGAGCCAGCCACTATTCCCAGTCTGTGGCACTGTACCCCTTCACACCATCCTAAGTTCAGCCTCTAGATACAGACTCAGAATATTCTGAAGCCATCATCTCCAAGTATAAAGGGTCTCAAAATATCCAGTGTCCTTTTCTGTTCAGGGTTGAAGAGCTGACAGCACCTGGTGGTTGAGGCAGACTTACTCTTCTTCAGAGACCGAGTGTTGTATTTTGAGCCACTTGTGTGAATTGCATGCTACTTAGCTAGGAACCAGAGACCTGGTCACTCTCCTGAGACATGGAGAGAGGACACGGGGTGGGTCGCGGAGGTGCCACCCCTTCTGATGGGTGGGAATGTATAAATCTGAAGGTCATGTGCAAGGTCAGTGGAGGTGCCTTCTGAATGGCAGAGGGCGGTGAAGTGGCCACAGGTCTAGCCTCTTTTCAGGCGCACAGTTGGCTGAGAAAGGAGCAAGTGTGAGGCTCTCCTGTTCTGGGGGCAGGAAGCAGGGAAGTTGAGGATGCCCCTCCTAGACGGGGCGGAGCACATGGGCAGTGAGGGCAGCATCAGGGCCCCAGCTGAAGCAGAGCCACTGGCTTCTCTGGGTTTAAACAAATGGCACCTCAATGGCAACCAGGGTCAGGAGCAGAGAGTGTGTGGCTGTGCACAATCTGTGTGTGGAATGGAGCAGAGAGACCAGTAACACTGGAACAGCACTGGATTGATGGTGGCCCACACCAAAGTTCAACTGGAGTGAGAGGAGAGGAGGTGAGGGGCATTTCCTGCTCACCTGAGTCTCTGGAGCTGGTTGCATCTGTGGTAGAGGGGCAGTCCAGGGCCACATGGAAACTGGGAGTGTGGGGTTTGCCCAGGCAGAGGTTGGTGACTCACTTGGCCTTGCCTCACGCATGGGCCAGCCCTGTATGCCCCATGTCAATCCCGGGGGCAAGTCCAAGGCACAGTGGAATGGGTCACCTACCAGGGCAGAGTAGGGCTAAGTGCTTGTTGCATGAACGCATGTGTGAGCGAGGGCCAGGATGGGGCTGTGGGCCATGCTGTCTGCTATGAGCATGAGCGAGGCCCTAGAGAGCTTGCCCTGTGTAGCCTCCACCACTGGCTGCAGAGTAAACACTGTGTTGTGCACAAGGCCCAGCTGTCCTGCAAAACATGTACCCTTCTCAGGCACAAGAGGGGTGGCTGGCCTTGGGACAGCAGGAGGTCTGGCTGTCTGAGTGGCATGTCCCTGTGGCCTGGCATTGCCTCTGCTCACTACCAAAGGGACAGAGGTGGCCTTACACAGCACAGTGAACTGTCACTTCGGATGGCTTCCTAGGGGACCAGCCCCCATCCTGGCTGGCATTTGTTGGCCAGCCTCTTGGGGACACTTCCTGGCACAGGAGGGCACGGCACATGCTCAGATGTCTACACCAAGGCCAAGCAGCCACAGGGCGAGACAGACCCTTCAGCAGGGTTACCCTCGTCGTGTAGGCATGAGGAGACCTCCTGACAGTCCCTTCTGCAGGCACAAGGATGGAAAGATACACACAAAACACAGGAAAAGCAGCAGCAGCCCCATCTCCACACTCTGGAAGCTCCCTGACCCCCCAGATCCCTGCCCATTGTTCCATTATGCCCTAGGCACATGTCCCTCCAGGGCTGAGCAGGGCAGCAAGATGCAAGGCTGATGCTTGAATTTTCCCTTAGCTCCTGCCCATCAAGGTCAAATTCTCCTTTTTCCTCCTTAAAAAAATAATTTCACAAATGCAAGATTCAGACTTTTCCTAAAATTGGAGCCCTGGCAGCTAACACTGAAAAAAAATGCTGCTTATATTTTCAGACACTGGTCAGCTCAAGGACCTGGTCAACTTTCTGTAGCCGTCTGCCCATCTCCCCGTGCCAGGCTCCCTTCTTAGTCAGCCCCCTGTAGGCCAAATACCAGTCCATTCATTGCCTAAGGTAAGCCTTCCAGAGCAGCACCTGCAGGCCTAGCCTCCTGGGGTCCCTATCAGTTCCCGGGGCTGCCTCTCCTCCCCCACCTCAGAGCAGCTGAGAACTGGGGCAGGCTGAAGTGACCACAGGCCTTCCTGGCTCATCTCCCATGTAACCCTCCCTGCCCAGCACTTTGTCCTACCTCTTCCAAGCCTAGCATCCCCCCAACCCCCGCCTTCTTAGTACCAGGCACATTAGTTGTCAATATGATTTTATTTTCTCTGCAGTGGAATCCATGAAAGCCAGAAGCAGTTGGGGCCATGGCTCGCAGGGATCATGGTCCCAGCCCTGGGCCTGACTGGTGGGCAATTATAGTTAAGAAAACAAAGCAGAACACGGAGAATGAGTCACTTGCTGCAGACATCACTAATCTTCTGGGAATGACAGAAATTTTGGGAGACTTCCCTTAAATAACTCTCTACCTGCAAAGCACCCGGAGCAAGGATGGTCACAGGGCTTGATCTCTCTTTGGATGTTAAGTGCTACCTTCCAGCCTGGACATGCAATTCAGCATACAGAAAAGACTGGCTGTGGCAGGCTGCTTGCATTTCTCTCTGCTTAGGGAGGCCCAGGCATATCCTTCTGCTGGTCCTAAACGTTAACCCAGGAGGCCAGAGTCTGTAGCCTGTGAGATTTTCACAGACAGGGGGTCAGATCTGGAGGACACATGGCACCTTCCTGTGGAAGAGCTTTGCATGTGGATGGACACACACTGGCACATACGTTCAGGCTCACTGAGGATATTTTGTGGCTGGTTTTCTTCATGGCAGGAATGAATGTCATGGAGTGAACTTTGCAGAGGAGGCAGACAGCTTTGCCCTTGGCAGAAGACACACAGCAAAGTGGGGTATGTGGGAGGGATATGGGTTTGCTGACTCCAAACCACTTGGAGCATGTGGCCCCATGTGGGCAGTGCTGTGCAGAAGGCTAAGGCCAGTGGTCTCTTCCCTGAGTGGCAGGTGAAGTCCTGGGCCATGGTAAACCGTCTGCACTGCAGCTTGGACACCAAGGTTCCCTGAGGCAACCCTGAGAGACAACCTGGGGAAACCTTACTCTTGCTTCATAGGAGAGGAAACAGGCTGGGAGCGGTAGAAGGCCATGTACCAGGGTGGCCATGTCCCCAGCCACAGGGAAGAGCTCCTCCCCTGCACAGTGCTGCAGCTTCTCAGCTTGAAGGAGGACTTCGGGAGAAACCGGCTTGTAAAGATGGGGCGTTTCTGCCCAGGACAGAAGTCTCTGTAGCTGTTCTAGAACCTCACAGGTCCCAGGGCTGTCTATTCCTAGGGACATCAGGGATGGGCGGCGTAGCTGGGCAGCCATGCCCACCATGGCCTCAGTTTGCACTGGCCAGTACTATGCAGTTTTCCCACGGGACCTCTCCTCCCCCTTCTGAGGCAAGGAAGCTTCCAGGGTCCTCTTCTGCACAGATACACTGAAGGTAGCTCCCTCCCTCTTCCCAGTGAGCCCAGGGTGTCCATAACCCTCCCTCCTTGCAGGGAGCAGAGGAGGTTGGACAGGAGTGAGGACTTCCCAGGGCACAGCCTGAGCTGATCCTTACTTCCCTTAAGCCACCCTCTTCAAGTCATTTCTGGCAGACAAGCAGACAAGAGCTCGGAGGGACCTTACAGTAACTGAAGCCCCGTCTACAGCCCTCACCCCACTTCCTGCGGCCACCTACCCCTCCAAGGCCACCTATCAAAGGTAAGAGCTGAGTGCGCTCTGCCAGCCCTGGCCACAATCCAAGGCAAAGGGAAGCCCCCACTTTAAAGATGGTGGCCGTTCAGCTAACAAGGTGTGACATGGGCTCTGAGGTTGAGGTCCTCGCTTCTGAGAGTTAATAGCCTCCCTCCTGCCTGAGGCTCAGCTGGTCAGGATGCTATGTGGACAGTGTCCAGGCCCAAGGCTGCCCATGTGGACTCCAGGCCCTGCTCCTCTGCAGAGGTGAGCTGCACCATGACTAGTGAGTCTTCCTGGCTGGGACTTGAGGTAGAACCTTCCAGAGGGCACTGTGTCCCTTGTACACTGGGAAAACACCCTTCTGGCCTGGCCACAGAGCTCTGCCATTTCCTGTTGGTATGTCCCTCTCCTGGGCCCCTGGCATCAGCCTTTCTCCCTGAGCAAGAAGTCAGCAGGACCTCCCTGGGTGGCAGCAGGCGTCAAGCCTCATCACTGCCCTCCTAGTGCCTGCACACACACATCAAAGGTGCCCTCTCATCCCAGAGGCCCCGGATGACATCACACAGCATTGTCAGCACAGACATTAGCGGTGGAGCTGGACCGACCGCCAACTTTTAAGTATGCGCACACACGCGCACCGGCCAATAACATTAAGTGTCATTTTAAAAAATGGGTTAAATAAGCAGCATCGCTGAGGATGGCAGTGCTGGGCTGATTACCCCCAATTTGCACGTCCTGGCGGTGGGAAGGCTTGGAGTCTAATGACTGAATTATCACCCTAATGCCTTTTGCTGGCTGGGAATAATCCTGGGGTAACAGCTGCCGCAGGGTTTTTGGCTGGTTTCCTCTAATTGCATCCAGATTAAGGGAGTGTGTGAACGAGGACTCCTCTGCCCACCCCCTACCCCCGGCAGGGTTCTGTCAGCTGACACTCCCAGGTCTGGCTTCCAAGACCCTGGCTGGCCCACAGGTGCAGATGTCCCCTGGACCTGTGTTGGCCCATGAGGTGTGGCGTGAGGGGCAGGGGTGGCACCTGGCCACGATGCAGCTGGTGGGTCTGGGTCAGGTCTTGGAAACTGCCAGAGAGGAATCTATGGAGGCTGAGACAGAATGGACGCTCCCCTCACCTGCTACCCTCCCCCACCCCATCCTCCAGGTACAGCAGCCGAAAAGCACAAGGTGTCAGGCTGTGGGCAGGGGAGGGCAGGACGCTGTTCTTTCTCTCCAGGAGGAGTGACAAGGGGCAGCAGGAATGGCAGGGGTAGGAGACTGTAACAGCCATCCTAGTCCCCCTCACGAATTCTTAAGCTTTGCCTACATGACCACATAGAGGGTGCACTACAGGGGAGGGTCTATGCTGCCACCCAAGGATGCCAAGTCCGGTGACATGATTACTTTAACCATAGTGATGTCAGCAGGTGTGATGTCTGCAAGGTTTGGAAAGGCATGTGTCCAGTGGGGCTGGCCAGTGGCAGGGATGCCAGAGACCTACCCCGCAACCTGGACACGACCTCCCTGGGACCCCTGAGTCACTGGGACTTTACGGCTGAGCAAGTCCAACCAAGCCAGAACTGCCCACCAGGACCATGACCAGCAAATCTGTGTGTGAACTAGGAGCATAGGGTTTTTGGTCACCAGGTTTTGGGGCTATTTGCTACAGTGTATTACTATGGGAGAGGGTAGCTAACAGTATACCTGCCTCTGGTTTTTTTGTTTTGTTTTGTTTTGTTTCTGGTACCAGGAATTGAACTCGTGACCTCTCGCTTGCCAGGCAGGCACAGTGCCGATGAGCTAAATCCTCAGCCCTATACCTGCTTCTGGGGTCTGGCTCCCGAGGGTTGAGGCAGTATGGGCCTGGTTAGCTCTAGCTATTTCCCCAGGGCATCAGGAGCCAACAATCCTCTTTCCAGAAGCAAAGCAGATGAAAATCCCACCTCCCAGGGCCACCACTGCAGGATCATAATGGTCAGGTCAGCAGCTTAAGATCAGCATAGTGACAGGGCTTCTCAATAGCCCCAGTCCCCATCCCAGGGCTCCTGGACAGAGGGACCTGGGGAACTTGAAGTTTCCTGTGGAGAAGACCAGGCTCATACAGAACAGCGGGGCTGATGACGGGGACTCCTCCTTCCTGCTGACAAACATCTTTTAAAAGTGGCACCGTCCAGCAGTGCCTACTCTTCCATGTCAGAGCTGAGCACAGGAGGAATCCCTGCTCCCGGTGACATCGGGACCTCTCCCGAGCACTCCGCTCCCACCACCTCGGATGTGGCTCTCCAAGCATGGCTGGGAGCATTCTCATCACAGGTCACGAGTCTGGTCTGTCCATCCCTCACTCCCAGAAGCAGTGAGTGACAGCCTTTTGGAGGACAATGTGTTGGAAAGTCTCATTCCCACCCAGAAGCAGAGGGCCCTGTGTGCTGCTATGCGACAGTGGCCTTTTGTGCCCAGACACCTGAGAAACTGACTGATGGGAAGGTCGTGTTCAAGCAGAGGCTGCAGGTCCTGAGCGAGGTAGGCCAACCTTCCCAGCCAGCTGAGGTGTCTGGTCTTGGTTGGTCACTTAATATTGTATCCATACACACACACACATACACACACACACACACATACACACACACACACACACACACACACACACTTCGGCCCTTTCAGCCCCAAGTTGGCTGCTGTATTTGGTGGGGCTGACCATAAACAGCACCTCGGATCCTTAAGTGAAGGTCCCAACCAAGGGGTTGCATCTGACAAATGGAGCCTATGGCTCTGGTTTGTGGGCAGGCACTTCCTTTCCCCCATGGGCACAGTGCTAACGCTGACCCAGTCCCTATTCTTAACACTGGTCCTCACATCAAGAGGCCTCTCCTGAGATGTCTCTCTCACGCTGGCTCCCTGGAAGACTGTAGGGTAGATGTGGATGTGCCTGGTTGCAGGGACGTCTCTGTGCCTGGGCAGAGGACCCCATTTTTCTGCATCCCTTGGTGCTGAGGGTGGATAAGGCTTCCTTCTCCTATTCCTGCTATTCCATTCCCTGGCAAGGAAGAACTCCTGGGCCATGCTGAAACCCACCAAAGGTGACTGGCATGAAGCCTGAGTGGTCTGCATCTGGAGGTGCTCCTGGCCCCCAAGTTCCTGGAGCCAGCCTCTCTCTGGGTGGCTGCTAGGCTGACTGCTGTCATTTCCAGATTCTGCATTACTGTGCAATGGTTCTTTTCATGCTGCCCAAAGGCATCTTCCTTACATTTTACCAGCCCTCTGTCCCTTCCACGCCCATCCCCACCCCCTCCCACATGCTAAGACCTCTGGCGAGGCCCTTCACCCCTTGTCCTGAGCAGGCAGCAGCCCTTATCTGCGGAAACCAAAGCCTTCCCGAGATGCCTTTGGGACCTTCTTGCCATCTCTTGGGGGTTTGGGTGAAGGCATCTCCACGATGCCCCCGTAGGGACAGCTCTCTGAGCCCGGGTGGTGGCCGGCACACTCCACGGCAGGCATGTACCCGCTGTCCCACATGCCTGTCCCACAGAGCTTGCACAGATCATGCAGACCGCAGGGGATGCGTGGCAGCAGGCGGAACTGATACAGCAGACTCCTGGCCTGCAAGGAGAGAGGGCAGGGTCAGGGGGAGAGTGTGGTGGCCACGGTCCCCAGGGGAGCAGCTGAAAGCAGCAGCAAGGGCCAATGCTGGTAGCTGTCACTCTGGATGGCTCATGGCAGGGCTTTCCCCACTGGGTCACACTCAGTGACAGCACAGAGGACCTAGGCCCTGGGCCTGCAGTGGCCGCTGGGAAGGGACCATGAAGCTCTGAGGAGGTGCTCATAGGTGGCTCAAGAAGAGAAGCTCCCAAATGGTCTTCACTCAGGACCCCTCTGACCTGAGCTTCTCCGCCTGCCCCGGGACCACCAGGAGGCACTGGTGCCCTGCCCTGTCTCACCAGTCACCTTGAGCTACTGTGGGGGTCTGTTTTGAGGTCTTGTGCAGCATACCCAGAGAACCCCTCCTTATTGTACCCATGGAACACAAAAGAACTCTAAAGAGCAGCACTTCCGGCCCAAGTTTGGAAGTGGGAGAGGCCCCCTCCCTATCTTAGCTAACCTGGCATGCGAAGCTGCCCCCTCTCAGGCCAAGACTCTTCCTCAGTTTTTCTAGTTCTGGGCTGGGAGCGAGGAGCCGCAGGATGGGTACCAGCTCCAGAATCTGGCCACGGAGGCCCGTGTCAGGATGGGATCCATGTGGAGTGTGGGGACAGCCTTTTTGGGACACAAGTCCTGACGTGCTGCTGCAGATGTGGACCGGAGACTCAGGCCACATGGGGGAGGGCAGGGGTGCAGAGCCTGCATTTAGGGGTGGAGATCTTTGTATGCAGGAGGTGGGGGCCTGCGTTCAGGGGTGGAGCCCGTGTGCATGGGGCGGGGCCTCTGGCTGGGTGACCCCCTCACCTTCCTGAGCACCAGCTCTCCGTTCATGTGCATGGCCAGGTTTCCGAAGTGCAGGAGCATCTGGTCGGTGGCAAGCTGCTGCTCAATGACGTCATCCCCATAGATGGCCACGATAGCCACACAGATGAAGAGGTGGAAGTAATCGGTCTGAGGGGGAGAAGTGGAGCTCAGGCCAGCCTGGCTCACCCCCGACCCCGCCTGGAGGAGGCCAGAGGTGTATAGCAGGGGCCTGGGTCTGGGACCTAAGCTTGTGGGTCTTGTGGTCCTGCGCAGCTGCATCGGTTTTCATTCTAAGCGTCCCCATGGGTAGATGGTGCTGCACCCACACCCAGGATGCTCTGAGTCCAGAATGTAGGGTGCTGCTGCTGTTCTGGTTGGGTCTTTGGGCAGTCTGTGACGGGGCAAAAAACACTCTACATCCAAAGCCTGGCCCACATGCTGAGGCCAGGTCAGAACACATTCCTGGGGCTGGGGATTTGGCTCAGCGACAAAAAAAGCGCCTGCCTGGCAAGCGCAAGGTCGTGAGTTCGGTTCCCGGTACCGGAGAAAAACCAAAAAAAAAAAACAACAAATCAGAACACATTCCTGCGGTGCACAAGCCTCTGGCAGCCTGAATCTGCAGGTCTGCCCTCTTGCCTGCAGGCTGAGTCCCACAGCGCACACCCAGATGAAGGTCTGTTACGAGGACTTTGGGAAGCAGATTCCAGCCAACTGGCTCCCTAGGGCCCTCCCAGAGGGTGGACACAATCTAGACACCTTTCTTTTCAAGGCCTACAAAGGACACTGCTGCCCTCTTTTAAGGCTGCCTTGCAGTGCCTGATTGAGCAGCAGGCAGCCCACACTGGGTCCTGGCCATGAGGGCCGTGAGTACGCTCCCAGCTGGACACCTCCAGGCAGGCTGGCTTCCAGAGGCAGAGGAAGGATGGGGCCCCAGGAGGTCTGTTTGTCTCCTGCCATCCACCACCCACCCAGATGCCAACTCCCCAATCGGGCTGGCAGAGTGCTCACTTTGGGCAGAGGCTAGGGGTGGTAAACTCCCCAAGCTGCCCAGCTGCTCTCCCAGAACTGATCCAGAAAGGTCTGTTTGGACTTAGCCGGGCCCTTTGGCAGTGGTAAGAACTCTGGCTGGGATGAGATTTCCAGGAAGTGGATGTGAGGCTCCTCCTGGAGGCATGTGGGGAAGGAAGGTGGGGGCCATTCGTCCTGACTGTCCATGTCCAGCATGTTCATGCTGGTGGGAAACGCAGTCCAGACCCCAGCCAGGGTGCGAGCCAAGGCAGGCCACGGTGAATGAAGAGACGTCATAGAGAGCTTGTGCTACACTGCTTAAGATATAATGGCCCAGTGACACCGCTCAAGGTGGGAAATGCTCATGTTCAATTGTGCAGTGGACGGGGTGGGCAATTGCATCTCTGCAAGGTCTGTCTGGAGGAGCTGCTGCAGCCGCGCCCAGGTGAAAGAGTTGTCCCCTCCAGAATGCATCCCTGCTATTTTTTTTAAAGGCTGATGGATTGAAAGAGACTTGCCTATCCTCTCACATCGACAACTGGTGCCTGACGTGGTGTTAAAGCCACGTGACAGTCAGCCCTGCGTTGGGAAGGAAATCAGTGGAGGAGACACTGAGAATGGTGAGCAGGGATTGGAAGCTGGCATCACTGACCAGGGCTCTCTGGAGGGGCTGCCAGGGAGGATGGCACTGGGCCCCTCGCTGAAAATGAGAAAGGGGCTCTGCTGGATGTTGGTGTACTGCAAAGTAGTCCCAGGGGTGCAGGGTGGGCGGGCTGGCCCCCAGCACATAGGCACCTGCACCCCGGCTGCTGTGGCCTCCGGCTGGCTGATGTCTCTCCCGCTGATTGGTCATGACAGGAGGGAGTTCAGCCCCAGAACGAGGTAATGAGCGCCGTCAGTTGGCAATCTGCATCAATTTCAGTGACTGGGGAGGCCAGGGCTGAAGTCAGCCACATGGGACCTTACAGCAGTTGCTGTGAGGGGCCGGATGTTGGTGGCATGTGGCAGGGACAGGGGACCCCCAGAGGAAGTTTGGAGGAGGTTGGGGTGGCTCCCTGCTCACCTGGTAGTGGGCCCAGCAGGCCTCCCAGATGCGCAGGGCCTCAGCCTCAGGGAACTCCCGCTTGAAGCACAACAGGAGCCAGCGGTGGCAGAAAAGCATCTGTAGACCATCCTCGCCCAGTGACACCAGGTGCTGGTAGAAGCGCAGATGCGTCAGCCGTAGCAGCTCCCGCAGGTAGAGCTAGGGGAGGCCAGGATGGTCAGCCCACCCGCAGCCCTGCCATGGCTGAGAAGGCCCACTCCTCTGCCCCAGCCTGAAAAGCACACAAGGGGATCTCTGCCCATTTATCCATTCCACCCCTGCAAAGTTTGCTCACATGTATCTTTGCCAGTTTGACTCAGGTTTAACCCCCAGGAGACCTCAGCTGATCTGAGATACAAGTAGCCCTTTTCCTTAAATGTTGGTGTATACACTGGGGACACAAGCTGAAGGTGGAGAGTAGCTGCCTCCGTACGGGGCTGACATTAAGCCATCATGCTAAAGATGTCAGTTTGGTTGTAACACGAGTTTTGTAAGGGTGTGTGATGTCTGATAGTGTTTTTGTCCACGAGAGATACCTCAAACTCTGGGAGACAGTGCCATATTTCTTTGTTTAATAATTTCTAAATTGTAACTACAAATAAATGAAAAATCGTGCAATTATTACATAAATGTAATACATGCACATTTTCAGTGATGTAAGTTTTTTTCACGTCTCACCACATACTAGTGATGAAGGTATCTATCGGGAACATGCAACCTCCACTGTCATTTTTGGGGCTGAGACCTCCTAAGGGTTAAGATTTCTGAATGCTAGCTCAGAGCAAGGAGAGTATGGCATCTACCCTGTGTGGCCCGGGAGGCTGACTCCTGGGGACATCACCCAGCCCCAGCCTGCACCTAGGGGCTATTTCCAACACCCACCCCTCCTGGCAAGGGGAGCAGATCATCCAGGGGAGCCTGCCTGACCCCTTTCCTCTCCCTGCCACAACCCTTCATCTCCATGGGCTGATTCAGAACAGGGAGGGGATGGGTCTGAACCCCAGGATGCTGGATTCCCTTACAAAACGTCACTCCCCCTGTGACGTGGGACAAAAACAAAGCTACTTTTGGCAGCCCTCGCCCCGGGCTGCTGACTTCACCAGTGCTGTTGGAAAATCAATCTCTGGCAGCTCATGAGTCACTGGGCCATGTGTAGCCCTGAGCGTCAGGGGCGAATGGCGTCAGACCTGTAATTGCCTCCTGGGTACTGTGGAAACCTGACATCACAGGGACGCAGGGTGATGCGGAGCGGGAGTGGGAGCAGGCTGGTGGGAGGGTCAGATATTCTTGAATCAGAGCTGAGGGGTCTCAAGGGCCCTCGTGCCCCTCCCTGCACAAGTGGCCCTCTGTTCCCTCAGAGACAGTGGCTGGGACTGCAGGGGCCCAGGAGCTGTGTTCAACTGTCCTTCCTGCCAGGCCAGTGTCTACACTCTGTGGCTCACGCAGGGTCAAGGCCACAAGGCCATGATGGCTGAACCCCCATGATCCCCACCAGACTCCTCACTGCCTCAGCTTTCAGTTCTCTGCTGTGCTCTGCAATCCTATCTCCCCCTTGGCAGCCTCTTATGCTACCTGCAGTTGCCCCAGGTCTGTCAGGGCTTCACTAAGCGTATCTAGTTCAAGAACAGGCCTTCAGCATGATTGCCTGCATCCCTGCTCAGCTGTCTCTGTGGTGCTGGGGAACAGACCCCAAGGTAGATACAGCCCCAGCCTTGGGGACCTGGAACTCCTGCTGTCCTCCCCGTGTCTACATCACATTTCTGTCACCTTTACCTCTGGGGGCCCATCCTCCTCTGCTCACACTGTTAACTTCCAGGCCGAGCTTTCCCCTGGACTGGGGGGCAAGTCCACATTCCAGGGCCTGATCCCGGCACCGGACAGATGCATGGCACTGGCACCTGGCAGGTGACATGCAGTGAGAACAGAGAATAAGCACCTTGGCCCCACTGACCCAGACTGGTCCATCCCCTCTCCTACCATTTGGTGCTGCTTGAGCTATGTAGAGCTCATCCTTCCAGGGAGACCTCTAGGGGGTGTCAGCTAGACCCCTTCTATATTTGGGATAGGGACCTGAGAACTGCTGTTGGCCTCAGGGTGGCTTTAGGAGCCTCAGCCATGTTGGATCTGCAGCCCAGACATACCGAGAGACCCTTTCACACAGCACAGGTGTGATGGGGCCTTCCTGTTCTTACCTTTCTGAACTGTACTGTCAAGGGCATGAAGGTAGAAGGCCCCCATGAGGGAGACCTGCACAGGCCAGGGGGCTGCCCCTCCTGGGACACTGAGGGGTGCTGTTCCCTCCTGGGAGGCTAAATATATCCCATCAGCAACCCCATCCCAGCTTTCTGCTGCTGCTGACTGGTGACAACACCACACATCACCATGGAGACCCCGGCAAGGAGAGATGGTGGTGTGCCCCCTCTCGTGGTGCTGTCCAGCATGTGTGCGCAAGCGCTCGCATGCACGCAGGTGCACACATGCTGAGCTCGGGTGCTCACCAGCTGTTTTTCCATGTCCTCGTCCCGGGGAGAGCTGACAAAGATCGTGTTCTGCATCAAGCCAACAAAACACCAGAAGGTGTCAGACTCGTCCAGGACCTCGGCCAGGATGGGCGCCACCAGGTCTGACATGCCCTGGGAGTAGCCGATGGTTGGGTTGTACACAGCGTAGTTCAGCAGGATCCTCCTGCGAGGTGGCAGGGAGAGCAGAGGAGGGCTGACCCAGCCGCTCTGGCTGACTTCTCTGGGGCCTGCAGCCCAGGGCTTCCTTCTCCTCCATCTGGGGAAGGCAGCACCTGCTTGTGTGCCCTGGCAGCTTTGTGACAGTCTCAAGATCCCAAGCTTTGGATCAAGACAAACTGGCCCTCACTTTGCTGAAGGTAATAGCCTGCAATTAGCTGCTCACCAGGCCCAGAGCACTGCGCAGGAATATGGAGCAATGTGGGTCTGATTTTCTTAATGGTCGACTGCTTGTGACAAAGGGTGGGCTGGCAGGGACATTTTTATGGGCTGTTAATTTTGTGCAATTATTTGCCAGGCTGCAGCAGAATGTCAAAGATGCCAGCCTCTGGCTCTGTGTGGCTTTATCACAGGAGCGACCACCCATCAAGAGGGGGAGGAGAGTCTTAGTGGGTGCCCAGGGAGAGGGGCTTTGCTGGTACCCTTGGATGGCACCTTGTGGCTGTTCTGGGAAGCAGTGGCCGGGAGAGTTTCACTGAGTTGATGACCCTCTGCTCTAGTACCCTGACCATATGAGCTTGAAAGAGACCCTGCATATAGCTGCTGCTGGGCTTGTCCCCTTTCCAGAGGGACAGCTGAAGCCCAGAAGGTCAAGGGAGACCCACAGACTTGCAGGTGAGGAAGGACCAGATGTGCTGGCCCTGTCTGGCCCCAGGGAACAGGGTACCTCATGCTCTCCACGTTGGGATTGTCTTCCCCTCGGAAGAACTGGTTGCTTCTGTCGGTGCGGACCACATCTTTGTCCACGGTGAACTGCACGTTCCGCCAGAAAGCTCTGTGCTCCTCAGGAGACATGGCAAGCCTGGCAGGGAGAGGGCTGCCTTTCGGTCCAGCATTCAGTGCTGGGGGTGAATAGAGCATGTGGGGGTGGGGAGGACCCTTCAGCTCCCAAAGACTGTGGATTCAAGGTTGCCTGCATTAACTCAGCTTCACAGTTCCTAGTGCCCCAGCAGAGTACACCCCATTGCAAGTGAGTGGCATACAGCCTTAGCCCTGGGAAGGAAAGCTCAGCATGGTCCCTGGGGAGTGACGCCCAGGTGGGACACAGGCTCCAGCTTTCTTTGCCCCAGCCCAGCCTGCAGCTGGGGGTGTCAGTGCCTAGTTAAGCCTCTTGAAGAAGGGTTCTCAAACTGACATGTGAGCTGAGGAGCCCCCGCCGAGGGCCCGAGCGTGTGGCATAATGACTGCTCTTAGCCCACCCGATCGCTCACACTCCTGGGAGACCCATTCTCAAAAGAAGCCATGGGTCACAAAACATATTATTGATGCTGAATTGCACTTCCAATTGCCCTTTCAAGGCCATTTTCCTCCAAGGTGCAGTGGGGTGGGCCGGTCCCCGGTACCTCTTCTGCTGGATCTCCTCGTATTCCTTTCGCTTTTGCACCCGCAGCGCCTCCCGCTCCTCCGATGTGGACTCGGGGCTGTAATAGCGCAGCAGGAAGGGCCAGACCTCCCCCCGGATTGACACGTCAATGCCGCCAAAGAAAATGGCCTGGAGGAAGCGGCAAAAGTTGGGGAGGGGGTAAAACAGGGCAGCTCAAAGAACCCCAAATCTTTAGAGATGTGTTTTGGTGGCTTCGGAGCGCCTTGATTCAGACCCCGGCAATTTGCACATGTTTACAAGGGGAAAGCACCGGCCCTCCATTCCCATACAGGACACAAACCGGCTCATTTCAATGTCAAAGGCCCCCTGGGGCGGCGCTCCGATTAACGTGTCGTTCTCACGTCATGGCCTAATCCCTGGTTTTGGAAATGCTGCTCTGCACTTCTGCAACCCCTTCTGTGCAGGCTGACTCAGGATCCCCAAGCCCACTCTGGAGCTGTTTCCAAGGCAGCTGCTTTGATCACTTCATCAGGGAGAGCGCACCGAACCTCACACCAGGAACAAGACCCTCCCAAGCCAGCGGCCCCCAGGTGCCTGGCCCTCCTTCCCTCCAGCCGCCTGTCCCCACAAGAGTTCCAGTGAGGCCGGCCACCTGGGCCTAGCCTTACCTTTCGAAGCTTGTACTCCTCCTCCACCTGGCCCAGCTCATTCAGGTGGCTGAGCCAGGTGGAGACATCCAGTCTGCGGTAGGAGCTCTCCTCGGGGTGCGTCTCCGAGGACGGCAGCTTGGGCCGTCGGATGGAGAACTGCATGCACGTCCGTTCATCTGCGACCTGCTGGACGGGAGGGAAACTGGGCAAAGATAAGTATCTCCAATGCCGGGCTCTGGCAGCCGGCGATGCTGTTCCCAGGATTTACAAGGCTCTCTCTCTTCAGAGAGGAGGGGCAAGTGCTGCCCCCTGCATACAAACCCTAAATGGCAAGTGTAATTAGATGCAATTAAAATGAAAATACCTCCATCCTAAAATTGCTTTCCCTTTGCTGCTCCCACTCTGAACGCCGCCCCCTACTCTCTCTCCAAGCCCAGCCGCAAAAAACAGAATGAATGCCCCGTACGGCCTAACTTCCCTCTGCCAGGAGGGCCTGCAATAAATTACACGTGATTGGCCACATACAAAGGGATCGCTGTTCTGCGAGTGGGGAGCCAGCCTGTCAGATTGTCTCCGCGAGCAGTCACGAATCCAGGGCAAGACTGCAGCTGACATTTAATTCAAAAATCAAAGGTTGTTCAGCGTAGGGGGGAGACGCCATGCTACTGTAATAAGGGAAGCCAGCAGGAGGCTCTGTGGGAAGGATGGGGCTTTAAAGTCAGCCCCGTTTCTAATAAGCACATACAGTATCTTAAACAGATAATTAAAGAGCTCTTATTACATTTGTATGTAGATTGAGCAAAATATGGCAGGAAGCCTTGTCAAAACATGATTTTTTAAGTGCAGAGCACTGACTTTCAAAAAGCCCTGGGCACATGTCTCCCACCCCAAGTGCTTTGCTGTCGGCACCCCTCAGGCCGCAGACAGCCAAAAGCCACAGGGGTCACCCCACAACCACGTGGATGGACATGGGGACCCCTGACACAGGACAGGGAAGAAGATGTGCTGGGAAGGCGCGGGCCCTATGGGGCCAGTCCAGTCGGTCATCTGCTGGTGGATGTCCTGGGGCTTCCTGCAGCCCTGCCCTGACTGCAGGTTTGGGGTTAGGGTGGGGTCAGGGTTAAGGTCAGGGTTGGCAGGCTACCTGGTCTCGCAGGTGTGTCTCAGCGCAGAACTTCCACTGCTGGAACACCTCGCACAGCTTGTCCAGGCCGCCGTGGTGGAAGTGGAAGACTTTGTACTGGCTCTCTCGGCTGGCGACTACCAGCTGACCGCTGGTACAGGCCTCGTCACTGAGGTCATGGGGGTAGGCAAGGAGTATGCAAACACGGGTTTTTACTTCCAAGTATAATCAGGGTCTGCCCCAGTGAAGCCGGCTACATTGACAGGGGGCAGACTCATGCCCAGCAACCCTTTGTTACAGAGCTCCCTTCTGGGGTCCCTCTCCCAAGGCTGCCCAGAGCTGCCTTCTCCCCACCACTACCTGCCTGGCCACATCATCCCTTCTGGTCCAAGGGGTGGACACTGAGCAGGTGCCAGGGTTGGCTGAAAGCTGATTGGGAACCTGGTGGGGTGGCACCAAGAGAAGCCCCTGGGTATAGACTTGGTGCACCACCATGGCTGGCAGTAGGTAGAATTCCCAGGAAAACTAAGCATCCATCAGAGGGCACCATCTGCTCAACCCTGACAGTCTCCAGACACAAGGCAGGAACACAGCTCTGGACCTGGGAACCCACTCCAGAGACAGGTTGGCTCTTTCTATGTACACGGTAGCCCTTCTCGGTTCTTCCCGGAGCCAGAGCTCCGGTAGCCCCAGGGGAAGCAGGCATTTGGAAACGGCAGCCAGGGCCCAGCTCCCTCCACTGCCGGAAGCACCCCTAGGCCTACCAATGTCTGGGAATGGCAGAACTTTGCTCTCACCTGAAGAAAAGGCGCAGGGAGCGCATGTGCCCCAGGTCCACACGGAACACACCACAGATCTGCTCCAGTGCACAGCCCCGCTGTGACTCTTCCCAGCGTGGGGTCTGCAGTGGGCCAGAGCCCTCTGGGAACCTCAAGTTGGCATCAGAGCTGGAAGGGGAGCTGGCAGAGTAGATTGTATGAGGGCCATGAGTTTCGCTGTCCAGGTCTGGGCTAAGCAATTCTCACGTGTTTTTAGTGCATATCATCCTCATGATAATCCTATGAGATGTACAGTAGTATCACCCCATTGTACAGAAGAGACCAAGACCTGGAGAGCTTAAGTGACTTTTCCCAAGATTGAACAGCTAACTGGTGGAGGAGCTGAGATCTGAACCCACACTTTGTCCTCAAAGCTTGAGAACTGAGCCTGGGTTCTTGCAGTCTACTTCACAGCCCACCTCCCCTTTTAACATTCCATGTATCTAGTCACATTCCCGATTGCGAAGTGTTTTACTGCAAGGGTTCAGCCACACCATAGGCTAAATCCCATCTCCTGAGATTTAACAGTAACACCCAGCAAACACCAGAGCCATAGTCAGAGCTGGCTTGGACCCCACTGTGGGTCAGGCCACCTTCTCCTGAGCTTGCTCTTCTGCCAGAGCTCAGGACACAGAGGGGCTCTTCCAGGGAACTGGGTTGGCTTCCATACAGAGTCCCTCACACTCAGCCTTTCCCTTCTGGGCCCTTTACTGCTCCAAGAACAACTTTGGGCCTGCTTGGTAGGTGGGGCGTGCTTCCCAGCATCTGTGGGAGGAAGCAGCTTGGCCAGGCCCGCCCACTAGCTGGAGCACTGGGGCTCTCCAAGCAGGGATGTCGAGCACCTGAACTACCGCACCACAAGTCAAGTGAGGTCCCTAAAGGCTGAGGTCTGCAGTGTCCAATTCAGCGGACCTTGGCCAGGCTGCAATGTGACATCACTGTTCACAGAACCAGCCAGACTGCAGATCCATCCTTGCCTCACCTACATGGCCCTCATTAACATCTCATGGAGGGGAACATGGAGGCCGAGGTAGTGGCCCTGCTCTATCCAGTCCTTCTCACTATGGTGCCGCCCAGCACAGCCCTCTAGGCCCTGCTCACTCTGTGGGGAGGCTGAGGTTTCCAGAGAGCAGATGCAAGACAGGCTCCCCGTGGAGAGTTCTGGGCAGAAGGTCCTTGCTGGTCCCTGGAGGGGAAGGGGCTGATTCCTAGCCAGGAAAAGGGTCTGCCACACACCTTCTCCTGAAAACTTGCCTCCAGGCAGAAGTCTGCTTAAACCCCTTCGAAATTCCCTGTGGGAAAATTATTTGCATCAATTAATTGACTGATTCATTAAGCCCAGACTATGCTTGGGACCTACTACCAGAGTCCATGGGCTTGAACTGGAGCAAAGGGGATGGAGGCCGTGTTCCCTGATCATGAGGCCATCTTAGCAGATGCCACCCATAGGGCGTCAAGGACTCTCCTCCAGGCTGACTGCTGTGGGCCAGGGGCTGCCACCTCCGTGGCTCCCAGCACTGGCTTGATGCATAGCATACAGCCATGTAGGCTCAGGCCTGGAAAGACAATGTAAGATGTTTGGGAATATAAAACTCACAGGAAAAAAATTTAAAGGAAATAAAACCGGGAACATCGAAAAATTTACTTTTTAAAAAATGTGATGATTTTCTACAGATGTGAACTTGGTTTTAGGAATATTCATACGTGTTGAAAATTTAGTTTGTTCATAAAATTATTATGTGCAATGCATTAAAATTAAAAGGATAAAAAGTTAAAAGGATGGTTTATTCAGGTAATAACTCTCAAGTTGCTATTAAGTTAAAAATGCTTTATAGAGAGAACCTGATGATGCTAAGTTTTAAGAAATGGCATTTCTTAGTTTCTATCATTTTCTTTGTTTGTTTGTTTGTTTTTTTTTTTTTGGTACTGGGAATTGAACTCAGGACATTGTGCTTGCCAGGCAGGTGCTTATGCCACTGAGCTATCTCCCCAGCCCTAGTTGCTATCATTTTCTAAAGGTCACCAAAATATAAAAACAGAAGTGAGAGAAGTATTGCTGTCCAGCAGTATTGCTGCAACACCTAGAACACAAGTCCTTTCTTTATCCAGAAAACTGCCAGTCAGCCACCAGGCTGTGACTGAGCGATGCCTCATGTTCTCCGCAGCCCTCCAGGTCCTGTAAGGGTGACATCTGTCTCCTACTCATGAAATTTGGGCAGGCCTTGCTTTGCCCAAAACAATGCAGCTAAAGTATTGCTGTGTAAGTTCTGGAGTCTGGGCCTCAAGAGGCCTGGCAGCTTCTGCAGGACCCCCCTGTACAGCCCAGGCAGGAAAGATGAGAAACCAGGAGCAGGGGACACTCAGCTGCTGGCCAGCACCAGTGCCTTGCCACATGCAAACAGGGGCCATTTCAGACCTCCAGCCAGTGATGTCCCAATGGTTGTAGCCACCTAAGGCAGCCCCAGAGGGGCCTAGCAGAATAGACTATGTAAGCCTGGCCCAATAACAGAGCTGTAGGCAAGGCAAAGGTGGCTTTTTAATGCTAAGATAGGGTGGTTTGTTATGCAGCAGTAGATAGCTGATACATGCAGGAAGGGTCTAGTTTTAGGAAAACCTTGAAAGGACAGGAAAAAACTTCCAGGCACACCAAGTTGTTGCTCCCAAGGTCAAAGAGATGTAGGCCAGAATTTAACATTATTTAAAACACCTCAGCCTCTAACTTTGCTCTTGCTTTTCTTTGGAGTCTGCTGAAGGAAAAGTCAATGAAGCCCCAGCTGTAGATCCCAAGCACAGTGTCAACTTAATGAATCAGTCAATTAATTGATGCAAATAATTCTCCCCCAAGGAGTTGTGAAAGGATTTGAGCAGACTTCTGCCTGGAGGCAAGTTGCTAGAGGAAAGGGAGTGGTAGCCCCCTCTCTCTGGGATTCCTTCCTAGTTTGGAATCAGCCCTTCACTCAGGGGACCAGCAGTGGCCTTCTGCCAGGGCCTCTCCACAGTGATCCTCTGTCTTCTATCTGTTTTCTGGAAAGCTCACCCATGGGGTGAGCAAGACATAGTGTGTCAGGAGGGTGTACAGATTTCAGGGGGTTGTGCTCATAGCTGTCAAAAGTGAGAAGCAATCAAGATGTCTTTGGTAGGTAAGGGACAAACAGTGAGCTGCTGTGCATCCAGACAATGGAATGTTCCTCAGTGCCCACAAGAGGTGAGCTATCAGCCATGAAAAGACATGGAGAAAGCTTAAGGACCACTTACTAAGTGAAGGCAGCCAGTCTGGAAAGGTTGCTTACTCTGTGATTCCAGCTATGTGTCATTCTGGAAAGGGCAAATTGTGGAGGGAGTAAAAAGGTCAATGGTTCCAGGGGTGGAAGAAGGTAGCCATGGAAGACAAAGCGTGGAGGAATTTTAAGGAAATGAAACGACTTTGTGTGACACCATGATGGGGTATTCATGTCATTTTACTTTGTCCAAACCCAGAGAACGTCCAACAGCAAGTGTGAACCACAGACTTTGAGTGATAATAGTGGGCCAAAGCAGGCGCATCAACTGTAACCAACGCATCCTTCTGGTGGGGGTGTTGTACGGGGGGAGCATGGTACAACTGGGGTGCAGAAGCATGTGGGAAATCTCTGCACTTTCCACTCAGTTTTGCTATAAACCTAAATTTGCTCTAAAAAAAGTCTTATTTATTTATTTATTTTGTGGTACCGGGGATCGAACTCATGACCTTGCACTTGCCAGGCAGGCACTTATGCCACTGAGCTATATCCCCAGCCCTAAAAAAAGTCTTTTAAAACAACAACAATGAAGAAAAACAAAAAGCCCAAGAACTGGAACATATACTGTATGATCAAAATGAATAACTTTGATATATTTAAAAACATACAAATAAAGATGAAAAATTATGCCCAACAGAAAACTGGCAAAAGGTAAAGAAAATAATTTACTAGAGAATAAGTATAAATAGCCAATAAAATGTTCATGTTCAGAGCAATAAAATAAATACAACTAGAAACAAGATACCATCTCAGAGAATGTTTTTAAAGTTGGGAACAATTTAAAATTATAAAATTTGGTACAGGCAAGGCTGTGAAGAAGCTGACAGGCTGACACAGCTTGGGGGGATATAAACTGGCCCAGTGGCTCTGAATGAAAATTTGGAAAAGAATGGAAAAGGCTTAAAAATATTTATTCATTTGACCCTTATTTTTGCTTCTAGGAACAAATCCTAAGAAAATAACCAGAGATGCCCATAAGAACTACATACATAAACAGATGCAGAAAACGCACTGAACATCTAATGTGCATTTATAATAAAAAAGAGGAACAGAAGGGAACCTTCTCTGACAGAGAACACCGAAAGATATTCTACACTTAATACCATACTGAGTAGGAAAAGACTGAACGTTTTGGATGTCAGTTTCGCTGCTCAGCTGGAAACCTTGGCCTTATATAAGACAAGAAGAGAGAATAAGGCTCATAACGTTTGGGAAAGAAGTAAAACTACTTTTGCAGGGGGTATGACTGTTTACATGAAAAAAGTCCCAGGGAAATTATAAAACAACTTTTAGAACCAATAAGTGAATTTAGCAAGATGATGGAATAAATGGTTAAACAAAAGCTAATTGTAGTCTTAAATTAGCAGTGCACAACTAGAAATGAAATACAACACTACATTTTTAGTAGCAAAAAACCCTCTCTCTATATAATATCTAAGAATTAGTGTAACAAAAGGCATTTAAGACCTTGCTGCTGAAGAACTCAAGGCTGCCGAGAAACCAAAGACCTCAATCAATGAAAAGCTGCACCATATCCACAGGTTGGGACAGCACTGTCAGGGAGGCAGTCTTGCCCAGCTGATCTCCACATTCAGTATGGTTCTAATAAAAGTCCCTGCAGGAACTTCTGGTAGAAACTGACAAAGTGATTGTAAAAGTTTTAAGGAAATGTCAAAGACCTAGAATAGCCACAGAAATCAGGAAAATGAAGAACAAGGTTGAAAACTTTGTCTGATTTTGTGACTTACAAAAGAACAGTAACCAAGAGAGTGTGATACGGGTGAAAAGACAAATATAGTCAAGTAGACAATCATCGGTAGAAGAGACTAGAGAGTCCAGAAAGAGATGGGTAACAACTTACTA